TACAAAATGTAACAATACCAAGCCACTTGATGGCTCCACGCAAGAAGCCCTTGGAAAAATTATACCAGCAATGACACCGTTAGCAAAAATACCAAGTTAAAATTTGTTGTAGATTACAGTTTGTTGTCTCAGTCCAGGTAAAGTAGTGTCTCAATAGATTAACTCACAGTCCAGGTAAATCACAGTCCAGGTAAGTTCTGCAGGCAGCTAGCTTAAATCACAGTCCAGGTAAGTTCTGCAGGCAGCTAGCTTGATCCGAAGTCTCTTCAGGTTCTCAGCAACACTGGAAATTCTTCCACCTTTGTCTTACAACCAGAGATATGAAAAATTGTGCTCTATATATGTAATAAGTATTGTAATGCATTCTGTTTTCATATGTAAATTTTAAAAATTTACATAAAAATAATGTTCTGTCCCTTCTTAATGACATTTGATGTAATATTCCTTTCAAGACAGTAATTTCCTTTCATAAATGGTTTTCTGGATTATACTGTTCTACTGTTGAAGGTATGTCTGTGTCTAATTCATATTTGGTTCCCATCAGGCTCCTGGAAGAATTTCAATCCCATAGGAACATCATGTTGTACTCAGAGAACATTTGTAGAATGAACCAATGAAGAGTCTTGGCACTCTAGAAATAGTACTGAAAATTTCAGCTCCTCTAGCCAACACAAGCTATGTATATATGATGGTCTTAGCTAAATATCTTTACTAAACAGTTGGTACTCTGTGATCTTACGATTAAGATTCTATTGTAGATCTGAGGTGCAATTAATTATAAAACATAACACCTGGGGTGTTGCCTAGCATACCCATGTCTTGGTTTTGTAATCCATGAAATGGGAACATCAGCCTTATGTGGTTGTTGTCATGGTTGGCAGATGCACTCTATGTGAAAAAAGTATCAAGAACTATATAAACAAAGTTATTATCTTATTTCACAAATGCCAGTTGCTGAATTGATTATTTCTCTTGTCTGTTTCTTCCACATTTTTACATGAGTAAATATATGGACCTATAAAAAATGAGGGAACAATCTACTTAAACAGTACCCAGACCAAATATTTTTAGTATTCTTTACTATGCTTCTAAATATTTAATAGATTATTAGTAGATGCAAACATAGAAGACACTATTTCACATTTGCATGTTAATGAAAAATCATGAATTATACATTATTTGCTATGTGGAGTAGTGGAAACAGTATTCATTTTTTATGGCCATAAAAACTTAGATTGTCTCCTGAAACACACATCAAATCCCCTTCTGTAATAGTGCCAGAAAGATCTGTAAGCTTTTAAAAACCATCTCCATCGAAATTAGATAGATTTGTTTGTGCCGCTTTGTAACATGCTAGTGTGAAAGTTCATTTTAAACAAAAATAGTTTTAATAATGTCATTACTAATGTATATTTGGTCATCGCTAAAAAATGGGGTTTTAATATGAATGTTTCATTTTAATAAACGGCAGAGGAAGCAAGTTGCCCTGAGTCAGCAGGAAGTGGTTATACACCAGAGAACAGTCTGTGTTAGATTCATCCAGAACACTGAACAGCCCAGAGACGGTCCAAGAAAAACCCCTGGCTTTATTCAAATGATTAGGCATACTGCAGCTCAACAGTGAGATTCACACATTCTCCTATTATTTCTTGACCTTGTGCCAAAAACTCCCACTTACAGTAATAATTAGAATTAGTGTTTCAGTGCATGCCTCCATCTTCCTAAAAAAACAGTAAAAAATAAAAAGATGCAGTGCTTACAAACCACATAGTTAATGAACATTTTCTTTATTGTTTGATTAATGCAGCTCAATTTTCCTAACTCTTTACCATTATGCCCAAGTACATCTACCTTCTGTTGCCAAATTGCTACAAGTACGATTGCTGGAACTGTGATCCTACAATTTTGAAGAGAAGTAATGTTTCTTTCTATTTCTCATTAAATTCTAGGAAATTCCTTTTATTTTCCTTGTCTATCTTGGACTGCTGTCATTTTGGGTCTTGTGTATTATTATTATTATTTTTTTGTCTAGTAATGTGGAAAGCTGTAAATATCTCAAATAGTGAATCACAAATGTTGGAATCAGCAGAGAATACAAATTATTGTGCCTGCTATTTTAATGAGAGGCAAGTTTGCAAGAAGGTCTGAAAGAACCCATGAAATCTTTATAGATGTTGATGACATGTTTCTGTCTACATTGCCAGTCTGAACCCCTCATCAGGCTTCTCGTTACGCTCAGCCTACACATCCACAGAGGGAATGGTGAGAAGGGACTCATGTCATATTTATGCATTTAGTGATTCTTATAACACTGTGGTTATTACCACCCACGGAAGCCCAACACTTACTTCCAAGGAGTTTACCCTTAGTTGGCAGGACCTAATGGGAAATCAGATAGAAATCACAAGGTGTGAAAAATAAGCAGGAGAAAAATAAACAAAACTTAAACAAAATATTTAATGCAATAAATCTAATTGCTAAACCAGTGTGATGTGACTCCCTTGTAAGAAACACAGATCAGGATAGGAATTCCAAAATCTAGACTGGACCCTATAACGTTGCCACTGATGGATTCTACTGTGCCAGGATAAAGCATCTAGCTGGGGGAACTTGGACGGTCAGAACCTTAGTTTTCATATTTGTAAGATTAGGAGAGAAAAATACCTGATTAGATAAGTCACTGGTTTGCTGTGAAGAACAAATGAAAGGAGGCAAGTCTTGTTAACTCTGCATGGCTACATGCTGATGATTTTGAGTTCATATCAAGAGTCTGTGGGGTCATTCCTCACCTTGCTCCCCCACTTCCAGAACTCTTGTGGCTTGGGTGCCCCTCAGTGTCTAGGCTTCTTGCAGGGGCTGCAAGGCCCTCTACCACCTGGGCTCTGGGACTCATTCCAGCAGGGTCCAATAACAGCAACAGCCACACTGGCCTGTAAACAGACCAGGATCATCTTTATTTCAAGGCCTTTTGTGAGCAAGACCCTTCAAATTCCTAGATACTTATGTGGCTTGTTCCTTTTCCTTCCAATCCAGGTGAATTTTACCTTATATACTAGCCTTTCCTAGCTTCTAGCTAAGATATCCTCTTCCACAGCACCCCAAATAATTCACTGTCCACTCACACTCTCAAATTATCCTCCTTGCCCTTTCCCTTATCTGTTTATTATAGGGTCCTTACAGAATGCAAGCTCCTAAGGATTAGGACTCTTGCCTGTCCTGGTTGTTATTTTAAGGATGACACATAGAAAAGGGACTCAGTAAAACTTCTTGACTGACTGACTGAATGCCACAGTTGGCAGCTCATGGGAGAGACAAGTGGCCAAAGGCCCCACTGGTGTTCCTCATCAGTGTGTCCTGTGCTGTCATACTACAGTCCTTGATCTCTCTCTGCTGGAACTGCCTGTGTCTCCATATTCTGTCTCAAGACAAAAATTGTAATAATCATAACAGTAACAATCATTGAGCTCTAACACATAGCTAACATAGTCTTGAATAAATAATCTGTTTTTCATTTGATACATACATGATCTCATTTAAACCCATAGAACATTTTACTTTTGAGTGAACTGAGGATTGGAGAGATTAGGTAATTTATGAAAAGCTTCATGACAAGAGGCAGAGTTTGTCCTCAAACCCATGCTGGTCCAATATGTATGCTCTCTCCAGCTCTGCACTACTTTCTGCTTCACAAAGCCTTTGTAGAGGAGGATTCATACTCTAGCTGTAACACAGTGTGACTAACTTTGTCTCTACCTCAGTAGCTTCTATCCTGGGTGATGAGTTAACTACATTATCAGATAAATGAATTGGGTCAATCATGATCATATTTTCCCATTTAAGATATATACGTGTGTGTGTGTGTGTGTGTGTGTGTGTGTGTGTGTGTGTGTGTATTATCAAGAGCTCTCTAAATACAAAATGGCAACAAGGAGACACTCTGAACTGATAGTAGGATAACTTACATTCATGAAGCATACATTAAATGTTAGGCATTTGAAGCTTTATGACAACTCTATGAGATATGTATTATATTTAACCCTATTTTACAAATGAGGAACCCGGGAACTATAGGATTTAATAACTTGCCCTATGTTACACAGCTATCAAGAGGTGGAGCTGGGACTTAACACACAGTACTGTGACTACAAAGGCAGGGTGCTTAATCACTATGTTGGATGATGGGCCCCCAAGAGAAAAGCAAGGGCCAGTGTACTTGTCCTCTATGTAAAACTCATCCTTCAATGAACTCATTTTTCCATGGAACATCTGGTCTAAGATGGATCCTTAAATAAATCACTTTCCATTTTTGGCAATGTTAGTTCATGCTCTACTCTTGTGATTATTTTTAATATTAAAATTATAAGAAAACATAGTCTTGAATAAATAATCTATTTTTCATTTGATACAGATGAGCCATCAACCAAACAATATCATTAATCACCTTAATATATCTATCACCATCACTTTCCCTAGACTTTTTTCTTTCTCTGTCAGTGAGACACATGTGAAATAGAGCAATTGTGTCATAAGAAATCATGCAAAGAATTCACTGATATTTTCAGTTCCATTCTCGTTTTTTTTTCCTTCTGTTAATATTGCAAATCATGTAGGATTATTTAGTCTCACATTTTCTTTAGCCATGATAGCTTAAATAAGGGAAGATTTTTTTTTTTAAAGGGAGTATAAATAGTTGTACAGAGAGTTCTAAAATCATGGCAATTTTAATGAGACCTTGATATCTCAACCAAAGAAGGAAAAAATAGACCATAGGGTTAGAAATTAGTGGATCAGGCATTTGAGTCCTTATCCACCAAATTTCTAGATAAGGTAGAAAGCAAGATATACCTTGGAGAAATTGCCCTCCGGAGAGAAAGGAAAGAAAGGATTTTGAGTTTGACAGTACAACCTTGTACCAGCACCGTTTTCTTCTCCTGCCTGTTCAAGGAGTTCTAAGCACCCTTCTGTAAATCATCATCTCACATCTATTTATTATCTTCCAGCTCAGTGCACAATACTATCTGTTACACATGGATACCAGCAATAGCACACGGGGGGCTCTGGTGTGAGAGACAGCCAGCTCCGTGCTCATCTGCGATCTGAGTCTCATCTGCGACAGGGAGTTTCTGCTCCTGCTGTAACCACCATCGTCAGCAATTAAAACAAAGGTATTATGTTTCTAGTATTTTATTCCTCTAAAAACTTGACTCATGCAATGTGATGTCAGCCATCCAGTGCCTTATGGATACAGAGAGTGTTTGACTGGTTGCCTTAGAGTAGCATAAGGTTGATGGGATTATTTTTATTTTCATTTTCTTTCAGTGAGCGTGGGCAATTTAATAGGACTTTGGTAACCTGTATTACAAGATGCTTGTATACACACAGTTGCTGTTCAGTGGAGGGCTAAAATAAAATGAATCCCACGTCCCTGCCAGAATGCTACAAAAATGTTAGGTATTATTGCCAAAGAAAGATTCAGACCCTGTGGAACAAAAATTAAGAACTTCAAATGTATGCTATGTTGTATAAAGTGATTCTTAACAGGGGCTTGGAAAATCAACTGAAAAGCCTTAAAAAATACAGACACCCAGAGCCCGTCCACTGGAGAGGCTGATTCAATTAGTCTAGGATGGTGCCCAGGCACTTGCATTTTTTAACAGGTCCTCTGATAATTCCAGTTTGCAGCAGGATTGAGAGCAACTGGTCTGATGGAGAAAACCTCAGAGCACAATTGTTGTTTTACTACTAGTGTGATCCTTAACGACTTGGGAGACTTTCAGTGAGTCCTTCATCTTTCACTAACTTCCTGGTTTCATCTAACATACAGTTTTGGCATAATTATTAATTAAAAGCTTTGAAAGTGAAGCCACTTTGATAAGCATAAAATGCTATAAGATATAAAATTAAAAAGAAATGAGAGAAATCTCTAAAATCAAAGAATCTTGAGGTCTGTTATTTATTCTGACAAGATTTTTCAACATAGGATATTTGTCTGATATCAAGTATATTCTTTTACCTATTAACCTTAGCATCTTTATCCTGTAGCTGGCAGAAGATGGAGATAAATATTCCTATTTAATAGAAGTGTGAAAATGAAAAGAAAAAAATTTCAAGGTATAATTTTAGTCCATTTTAGTTTTTTTGTTCCCCATCCTCCTAGATCTCTCTGGGGATCAAATGAGTAAATGTATGGAGAGAACATTATAACTATAATTTATGATCATTATGCTTGTTGTTATTATTGTAAGTTTTCATTATGCCTCCATTTATTCAACTGCAAAATGAGAGTACTGAACTAAATCTAAGTAGGTCTTCCAAGCATTAAAGATCTGTGATTCTTAGAAAATGAGAATTGGACAACTGTGA